ATGCACAAAAATCTCTAATGTGCTATGATTTTCAGAGAGTGTCATGTTTAAAATATGTGAGTGAGAACATGACAGCAAAAACAAGTTCAGAAGAGGGACACAACCAAGAGGCTAATGTGTCAGGAAAATCCAAGAGTAAGTGGAGTTGTAAAGGCTAAAAAATAATGCAAATGCTGCATCTCCCTGTCTTTCTCTCTCTTTCTCATACACAGACACACTTATACAGCACATATACAAATACATAAGTGTATATATGCATACATATACAAATATATAAGTGTATATATCCATACATATATACACACATATTCGAGTATACATACATATATACACACATATACATACACACAGATTGAGAGATTTAACCATATGTAGATCTACGTGCACAGATACAATGATGAAATCATTTCAAAGCATGTAAAAAGTATAATAAAATATATATCCTCTGTTTGGGATAAATGAAAAAATGTTTAAAAGCAGACAATAAATAAATGGCAAGAGCTAATCTCACTTGAATTTTGTTATGGCCTTTTCTTTTCTAAAAAGAATAACCTCAAACTGAACAAGAAATTCAAAGCAATGGAAAACTCAACATTGAAACTCAAAGTAGACCAGGAGATAAGCGACCTGTTTCAAAGATCATTGTCCAGGTAATTTATAGGTCAGTGCATTGATAACTTTTGCTAGTTATGGAAAAGATGCTAGAAAACCAGACCTTGACATTAAAAAAAAAAAAAGTAAAAAGAATCTGAAGATTGCATCTCTGAGCTTAAAGTAGATATGAACAAAATCTTATAAATTAGAAAATGACTTAATGTTAGTTTCATCGTAAATGTGTTGAGGTTTCTTAAAATGGAAATGAATATTATTATTTGTGATGAGAGCACTAGGGGCATTTTGATATTTTTGATAAAGTTTCTAGAGGAATAAATTGGAATGACAGGAATCTATGTTGATTTTAGGAAAATGTTTCTATAATTCCACATGACATTGTCTGGACAAAATACAAAAAGGTAGGCTGAATAACATTTTTAATGGGCAGTACATTTTATAATTGTTATTGATTAGGACGGAAGGCCTCTGGTAATGTTTTCCAGGGTCATATCCTGTTACATATACATGACATGGATAAAAAGGAAACAAATATTTATTGTATGCCTAGTTTATGTTATCTCAATTCCAGCTCTGCAAGGAGCTACAAAGTAAAATTGCCACCTTTAAAAACTATGAGGTAAAATTATTCCTATTCACAGATGTAGAAACTGAGTTTCAAGAAGGCTAAGTAACTTTCCTCACATCTGAAGACTGGTAATACAGAATTAGGTTTCTAACTCAAGTCTGCATGAAATTTCTGTTTTGTCCTCCGTTAAGAAGCACATTACATTTGTTTGAACATAATGCTGGGGAGGTATAAGACATGGAATGAAAGAAGCAAGATCTGGAAAGTGTTGGAGGATGAGTCAAAAGAAACAGGATATAATTATCCTAAATTTAATATTAAATCTTAAAAGAAAACCCCTAGAAATCAGTTGAACTTGTACAGAATGGTAAATCATTTTATCATTAGATCACATAATAAATATTATGAAGTTTAAGTGTGACCTCTGTTACTCAATAATACAGTACCATTAACGTATCCATGGATGTGTTGTCAAGGCAAAGGAAGAGTATTACACAGTCTTCGTCAATTGTTAGATGGCTTTGGGTGTAGTGTTTTCAGTGTTAATCCTGGCTATCATGTTCTTTGCCATAAACTTGTTGACAAATTGGCAAATATTGACATGAAGTGTGCTATTTGAGCATCTAAAAATGTAGGTGTTTTCCCTAGCACATCATATAGTTTGCAAATGTTTGTTTCATTTACATGCCATTATTATACAGAATGGTTTTTCTATGATAGCATTATAAAAATTCCCAGAAAATATTGGTCCATTAAGAAATTGAATGTTCACAACTCGTAGTGTAGGTATATGAAAGAAATAGATCTAAATAATACAGTGGTTTCCAAATTATATTTTTGTACCTGGAAAATATCTACTTTACAAATGGCACAAGGTCATATTTTCAATGGGACTGAAAAAGTGCTTGCATTAACATATTTTATGTATGCTTTTAAATCTACACTTGTGATTGCTACTAAAATGTGTATTTTCCATAAATGTGTATTTTCTAAATTTCATTGTGCCTTTTACAAGACACTTTTCTTTGATGTTCATAAATGTTGAAAAGACTCCCTTAAGGAGAATTTTAAGTGTAAGTAAGGTTTTTAGTCAGCTTAAATTATACAAATCTGAGGCATTGTTTAAGATATATACTATATATAGTTTGAAACCTGTTTGAAACCTGTCAGCATTTTATTTGCGTGGCAATTAAATAACTCAACTATTCATGTCTCATGCCAGTCCTTTTCAATGGTTATTTTTAACAAATATATATATATATATTGCGCTTACAGCAAAAATATTTAAAAATAGAAAATAGATTGAGTGTAGTTAAGCCTAATAACTGTACTTTTGTTTCTATGCCTCTGGGACAAGATTACTAGAACCTTATTCAAAGTTTCTAAATATAGGAAATAGAACATTTGGCCATGTAAAAAAATTGTTTGGATTTTCTTTTGAAAGAGAATATTTTTCCCCGTTGACCCCTAATGAAGAAGCTTTATTTGTCAAGGCCTTTTCCTTAGAAAATTGACCCAATGTCCACCTGTAAAGAAAGCATAGAGGCATCCGTGGATGATTGATCAACTTATGCAAACAGGTTAGTAAGGAGAAGATATTAAGATAAAATGTGAAACCACCTCTGTGGGTCACATTTGCTTTCATGATTTCTTAGCAAACATCCAACTTCACTGCTATGCTCAGCAATCTTTCTTGAAACATTTTAAAGACATTGATAGACACCAATAGCTGATCTTTAGAAAGCCACTCCCAGAAGAATATGTAAAAGTTATAATTCATTTCATGGAGTATGCCTAGCTCTTGATATTAGATGTCTTTGGCATACAATTGTGTACCTTTTATCATTGACAGTGAAGAAAATACCATTTGTAACAGCTGAGATATACACACAATATCATCAACTAGCCAGTTAATAAAAGATGAGAAAAATAAAGAAAATAGAACATTTTTAGGTATCTGGCAAGTATCCTCTAAATCACGATAAAAATAATAGTTCAGTGACAGTGTTCACATTTGCCTATGACTTTAAGATTTAGATGCCCCACAACATATTTGCATTTTATGAAAGATTCATTTTCCCCCTAACACTTTAGTAACCGGATACAAAGAAAATACACAACAGCTGTTGTATAAATGAAAGAAAATGTTTCCCAATTTTTATCTGAGTTTCTTATTTATTTTCAGAGAATGAATAAAATAAAAATAGCCTAATGTTGTTTGGACCAGAGCATACCAGTAAATCTTAAGGATTGTGTTTCAGGATGGAAAGGAAGAACAGGAAGATTTCCTCATTCTATCTTACTGTCAAGAGTCTAGCCTTTTCTCTCTCTCTCTCTCTCTCTCTCCCTCTCACACACACACACACACAGACACACACAGACACACACAGTCATCTATATCAACACATACTTGAGTTTCTTAAACATATATGAAGCACCCTCCATTTCCCTTTGTAATAAGTTCCCTTAGTTTTTGCTGTTCATTAAAAAACTAAAAGGATGAGAGAAGCTCAGGACATTCTGAAAACCAATGTCTTTAGGACACACTATGGTGTCCTGAATTACTTTAATGGACACATTGTAAAGACACACTCTCCAATCCCTATTAGGAAAAGTTTAGTCAAGTGTGCTTACTATTTTGGGGCATATACCAAAAAAGCAACATTTAGAACATTATTTAGGATATATTATTTATGCAAGAATTGTACCGGCTATTTCCAGATGGCATAACTTATTCTCTGAGACTCATGTAGCAAATAGAACACAGAAAACATAAATCATGTCAGGAGAAATCATATGAAGAAGAGCATTGTCTGGTTATCAGAATACCAGATCTCTCATTCTGGCCTTGGTAGGAAACAGCTCTTTAATTCTAGAAAAGTCAACTGATTTCTATGGTTCTTACTTTTTTCCTTTATAATATACCCATTTAAATTCCAAAAAAGTATATGATAAATCACAATACTTTCAATCACATGAATTTTAATACAAAATGTATAAAATCAATTTCAAAAAAAATTTTCTGCATATACTGAAAATGTCTGTACGAATGAGCTAACTACTCTAGAACTTACCTAATTTATTCTATTAAATGTGGTTATTCAATGTAACCTGAAAATATTGAGCTTAATTATTCTTTTTTTTTTTTTTTTTTTTTTTTTTTTTTTTTTGCAAAAGGGAAACTAGTAAAAGACTGCTTCCCCCAGAAAATTTATTAACAATAGGTGCTCAATTAAATATTTTTAAACAATGAACAATGTCCCCTTTCATATAAATAATCAGGGGAGAGATATTTTTAAGTATTTTTTTTTCTTTTTCCATAGCCTCACCTACACAAAAAAATCTGTTGTAAAGACACCACTTCTATGAGGAGGTATTCATTGTAGATATACAGAAGTCAATGGAAACTTAAGTTGATACAAAAAATAATCCCAACTGCATATTCCCACAGATGCTTAATAAAAGCTATCTGATAATATAATGAATTATCAATTCTTGAGAAAGTATATACAGTTGGTGACAATTTTTCAAAAATCATCATCCAACAAATTTTTTCATTTAATGTCTTTCATATTACCCTTTTGACAATCAGTTGAAAGTTTAAAATGAAGAACATTAAAAAATATAAATAAAACTAGCATTAGCTATAGACTGATATTCAAGTTCAGAAGTTAAATACAAGTGTGTATTAAAAGTAAAATTATGTCAACAATGTATAAATGAAAACTACCAATGTAATTAACGTTTCTTTTAACATATCCCATCCATTGCTTTCCCTCCAAAAGACAAAGGTAGCAAAAGAGGAAACAGGAAGATCTGCTTCAGAAACTGAATCTACTGATTTAATTGGCTAAGAAGTCCAAATGCTGATACTCCTAATAATTAGCCATTCCTTTTGTGTTTTGGTGACATATATCCTCATACAATGTATATCAAACGGAATTTTTTGATTCACACCTGACATTTCAAAGTTTCCATTTTTGAATTCTCCTAGTCTTAAGTAGGTAGAACACTGTCTCCTTTGTTTGCTAGGCAAAATATTTTCCCCAACATCTAGGGCTCCGTGATGCAAAATATCATTTTGCCGATCTTCTGTTCCAGTATTTACTTTAATTTTTTTTATTATAATTGGATTTTCAAATACAATCACAAAGACATCTCCTGTGGAAGGTGGTTTTCCCCAAAAGTACTCGTCAACACTACTATAAGCCTTGCTTGCTTCATAATTTTCAAACACATTCATATTGGTGTACAGACTTGCAGGGGGGTTATCAGGAATGTCAAATGACTCCTCTTCAAAATCATCATCCTTCAGCTTATTCTCCGTCCCTTTGTATGATGAATAATAGCCCATGTGCTGAAAGAGAGAGGGTTTAAAACGTATCACATTTTTCTGAGCCAACAGGCCCCGGAAATGAGTCAATAGCCAATCACAAGGCATTTCTTGATAAAACATTAATAAAAAATGTGCCAAACGTGGGAGGTCATGAGAATGATAGAGTTTACCAATGTAGCCAAGCTTAGAGAATTCAAGAGTTACCCAGTAAGTTCCTTCTAGGGATGCAATGACTTTCTTGATGGCAGTTAAGAAGTTTTTTGAACATCGAACATCGTCTTCAAGCATTACATAATAGTCTGAAGTATTGGCACAAAAATTTAGCAGAAATGCATAATCTACATTTTGCTTGGAACGAAATTTGACTCTATCTTCTGGATCATTGTAATTTCTTTTAAGGCCATCCAGGATTGGGTAATATTCCTCTGGAGCATGTATAACCATTAATCTTCCTGCAATAATATGGTGTGCAAATTTCTGTGTAATATCCTGGACCATGGCATCACGCCAGGAAGAATTAAAGTCTGCTAGGTGAACCACCACTGAAATTTCCTTCAGCTCTTCATAGCTGGATTGCTCAAAAATTGACTTAATTGTCTCAAGTAAATAATTTCCTTTTTTTCGCTTTACTGAAGAAAGTCCAATTGTAAGATAACCTGCAAAAAAGAATTCAGAAAGAATACAAATGTGAAGCAGAAAAAGAAAAAGAGAAATATTTATTTTTTAGACTTGCTACTATTATATATTAAGTAAATCTAGTAAATGACTATGCACAGAACATTTTATGATTAAATAAGCTAAATATATAAAAGCTATGCTTAGTACGTAATTTATATTTTATATGAAAAATAAATAGCATCTTAAGCACAATAATATATAAGCCCTATTGCTGTGAACATTTATTCATGAAATTCTAAAAAAAAAGGTTTAAAGTGTTCTGTAGTTTAATAATCTCATATACACCCATTAGAGAAGGTAGACAGGTATTTAGATAACATACAAATTACTTTTTAAAAATAAATAAATTGTTTTTCTGTTTTGCAAAAAGAGAAGAGCATTCACAGTTAAGACCAAGAAAGTAGCTTTAAATGATAAAGAAAAATAAGGGTAAGCAATTATTTCAATCATCTTTAAATTTTTTATAGAACACATCACATATTTTCAGATTTTTTTTTTTTTTTGCTGTAATTATATTGTACTAGAATTCTCAATGAGACTTCAAAATTTTATCTTGCAATGTACCTAGTATACTAATTAGAAAGCAAACAATATTATAAGACACATCCAGCTAACTCATGTTACATTGTTCCAAGACATAAGCATCACTTCTTAAAAAAAGGTTTGAAACACATTTTATACTAAGTTTGCCTGGATAAATTTTTATTCAGACATTTAAAATCTAAAATTAGGCAATCAGAATATGTTTAGAGAATAAAATAAAACACTGAGAAAAGACAGTTTGCCTCTGATAAGTGTTAGATGTCATTCTATTAAAATATTTTCACTTTTTAAAGCTTATTTTCATATGAATCAGAATTGAATAACATTTCTAAACCACTATTTGGAAAATGGGGAAATCTTTATATGCAACAAGATTGTTTTAATATAGACACCTACATAATGTGGTTTGTACGATACTGAAAAAAGCCCCATTCAAAAAAATTTTTTTGTTTGTCAGAGAGGTTGTGATTTACACATTTTGTTTAAATACCTTGGCTTACAACTCTGACTTCTGTTATCTGGTACCATTAAACTTTAAGCCACCAAACTTCATTAATAATAATAGCCAATGCCTATAAAATGCTGCCTACATAAGAGGCAGGAGTTGGGGCATTTTATCTGTAATATGAGTCTTAAATGGTCATAATGGTCTTTTAGGATAGGTTTGCTATTACCATCAGTCTGCTTTACAGACAAGGACACTAAGTCACAGTGAGATAAGGTGACTCGTGCAAGGCGGTACACATAGTAAGTGATGTTGCATCAGGATTCAAACTGTCCCACTCTTTTATCCTCTGTGTTACATTGCCTCTAGTAGAAAGCAGTTGACATATGCCAATAAATATTAATAAATTTAGAATGGGAAAGGAGGACCAGTAATGTTCAAGCAAAGGTGGTATAACGGAGAGGAAAAATGAATGGAAGTCTTTTTTTTTTTTAATGGTATTTGCTTTAGCTTTATTATTATTATTATTATTGTACTTTAGGTTCTGGGGCACATGTGCAGATCATGCAGGACTGTTGCCTAGGTACATACATGGCAATGTGGTTTGCTGTCTCCATCACCCCCGTCACCTACATCTGGCATTTTTCCCCATGTTTCCCTCCCTGACCTCCCCAACCTCTGCTGTCCCTCCCTTGGTCCACCCCAACAGACCCCAATGTGTGATGCTCCCCTCCCTGTGTCCATGTGTTCTCATTGTTCAACACCTGCCTATGAGTGAGAACATGTGGGGTTCGATTTTCTGTTCTTATGCCGGTTTGCTGAGACTGATGTTTTCTAGATTCATCCATGTCCCTACAAGGACACAAACTCATCATTTTTTATGGTTGTATAGTATTCCATGGTGTATATGTGCCACATTTTCCTTGTCCAGTCTATCATCAGTGGGCATTTGGGTTGGTTACAGGTCTTTGCTATTGTAAACAGTGCCACTATGAGCATACATGTGCATGTGTCTTTATAACAGAATGATTTATAATCCTTTGGAAATATACTCAGTAATGGGATTGCTGGGTCAAATGGAATTTCTATTTCTAGGTCCTTGAGGAATTGCCACACTGTCTTCGACAATGGTTGAACTAATTTACACTCCCACCAACAGTGTAAAAGTGTTCCTATTTCTTCACATCCTCTCCAGCATCTGTTGTCTCCAGATTTTTTAATGATCGCCATTCTAACTGGCGTGAGGTGGTATCTCAATGCGGTTTTCATTTGCGTTCCTCTAATAATCAGTGACGATAAGTGAATGGCAGTCTTAGGCAAGTAGAAAGAAGCCTAAGAATAGTAGACATTTGAAATGGTAGAATGAAAAGAAATGAGATCTTAAGAAATCTAAATTAATTCAACAATTTCCTCGACCTAGTGATAACAAATACACTCACACAAATAAGTCTTAAAAGAGAAGTCAATTTTTGTGGTCCCCACATAATTTATTAAGATGATAGCACTGTATCTCATTATAAGGTTTATTTTTTGTTTGTTTTTGTTTTTAGTAGAGTCTTGCTCTGTCACTCATACTGTAATGCAGTGGCAAGACCTTGGCTCACTGCAGCCTCCACCTCCCAGGTTCAAGCGATTCTGGTGCCTAGGCCTCCTCAGCCTCCTGAGTAGCTGGAATTACAGGTGTGCACCCACCACAACTGTCTAATCTTTGTATTTTTAGTAGACAAGGTGTTTCACCATGTTGGCCAGGCTGGTCGTGAACTCTGGGCCTTGAGGCCAGGAGTGATGCACTGCCTTGGCCTCCTAAAGTGCTGGGATTACAGGCATGAACCATCAAACCCAGTCCAAGATTTGTATTTTACACAGTGAAATATTTAAAAATCAGGCTGCATACTACTATTAATAGCATTATAATTAAAGTTTGTAATGCTTATACCTTCTTAGTGGTACACTAATTAGATAATGCTACTTTTTATAAGCTATGATACCTAGAAATATAGTATATTACTTCTTGGCTCCAAATATATATATATATAACTGACTGTAGTGTGTTAAATAGTTTCCTCTAAAAATTCATGTCTACCTGGAACCTCAGAATGTAATTTTATTAGTAAATTGGATCTTTGCAGATATAATTTGTTAAGAATCTTGACATGCAATAATGCTGGATTTATTATTGGACCCTAAATCCAATAACTTGTGTCCTTATAAAAAGAGGAAAAGTCACAGAAAGGCAAAGGGAAGAAGGCCATTGATGATGGATGCAGGGATTGGAGTGACGCTCCAAAGCCAAAGGATACCAGAAGCGAAGGTACCAGAAGCTGGATGAAGCGAGGATTCTCCCTTAGAACTTTCTGAGGGAGTGGGGCCCTGCCAGCACCTTAATTTCAACCTCTGGCCTCCAGAACCATGAGAGAATAAATTGCTGTTTTTTAAAGCCACTCACTTTGTGGTGATTCGTTATGGCAGACCTAGGGAACTAAAACACTGAGTTTCATTAATTCAAAAGTTGTGCCATGTCATAAAACCAAACTGTTAGAGGTTGGGAATTGTAGCAATACGAACATAGGAATTTTTTAAATTAACTTTTTTTTTTTTTTGAGACGGAGTTTCGCTCTTGTTACCCAGGCTGGAGTGCAATGGCGCGATCTCGGCTCACCGCAACCTCCGCCTCCTGTGTTCAGGCAATTCTCCTGCCTCAGCCTCCTGAGTAGCTGGGACTACAGGCACGTGTCACCATGCCCAGCTGATTTTTGTATTTTTAGTAGAGACGGGGTTTCACCATGTTGACCAGGATGGTCTCGATCTGTTTACTTCGTGATCCACCCGCCTCGGCCTCCCAAAGTGCTGGGATTACAGGCTTGAGCCACCGCACATGGCCTTAAAATTAACTTTTAAATTTTAAAGTAATTTTTTAAAATAGTTGCTCTATACCATCCTACAACAAAATCTCACATTAAGATTAGGCATTTTATTTAATTTTTTTGTTATTAACAGTATTAGGTCAGTAAGTTCAGTAGTTGTAATTTTTGAAGAAACATTAAAGTTTTTCCCAAATAATTTATTATATTAGTAAAGCCCCTAAACCTGTTTTTACTATACATATAAAACCAATTGTCATTATTTTAATGCAAAATATTTTATGTATTCTTTATTTAAATGTTTAAGGATACTTACGCTTTCTTTGTAAAGGTGTGGCAGCTAAGTAGCGATAGGTAACATTTATGGCTCCTGAGAAATTTGATAAATCCTTGAAAGTATGAACATAGCGTTCTGAATTCAGTTGATGTGTGGATGTTTCCCTTATAAGTTGTTTGTCTCCTTCCTAAATGTCAAGAAAGAGGCAAAGAAAATATATAAATAATGGATGGTCATGGATTAAATAAAGTTTATTTTTTACACAGTAAATGTACAACTACAATATATAGTATGGAGGGTCATGTAAATCTCAATTACTGACATCATAAGCTGTAGCTCATGATCACTCGCCTCATTTTTTACCCGGAGGTTCTGCTCCAGTTGCTGGCTGGCCTATTTTACTATGTATACCACAGTTACATTTGTTTTTCCACAGGAAACATTAATAATGGCATTCTCTTAGAAGAAGAGTTTCTACATGAAAACGCTCACTGCCTTTATGCTAGTTTTCAAATGTTTTTCAATCATTTAGGGATCTCAAAATTGATAGTAATCCATAATTTAATCTGGGGCTAGTTACCACAGCATTACATTGCCGTTTTTACTCTTCCTCAAGCACTCTCAAATAGAATATTACATAGGTGTCTTCACGATGGTGAAGCTTTAGGAATGATTAAGAAGATGCAGTAGACGACACAATCACTGGATTTTGGATACTTTATTAGATAAGTCTCTCATGTGGCTACCATGTAGCTGTTGAGAAGGGCCAGTTCTGGGTGATATGGCAGTAATTATTTTCATATGTCCTAAAGTAACTTCAACTAGGATACATTTGTACCAAATCAAGGTAATGTGTAGAAATCTTGGACTAAAATTCCTCATAAGTGTGTGTGTGTGTGTGTGTGTGTGTGTGTGTGTGTGTGTGTGATTCTATTGGATGTAATGTCTGATCCTTTTATATTTTAGAACTCTTATATATTTGGTTTCAGCCTTTGTATGTCATTACATCTTGAGGAAGGTTTACATTCAAGAAAACATTCATATTCAGGTTAAATATCCTTTAGTCATTAGTTGCCCTTCTTTGATATAAGCTAAATGGTAAATTTTGATTATCTAATCATCATTTGATCAAACCTTTATTGTTCATATACTATTAGAAAAATGACTATTTGTTTGGCTTGAATGTGATTTACTAGAATTTGTAGAATATGTTTGAGAGAAACATAATTAGAAAGAAATGTTTCTCTCTTTTTCTTATTTTTCTATTTTGCAAAATGTGCATTCTACTATGTGGTGTTATGTGGATTTATTTACTTATTTATTTTTAAATTTTATTTATGTATTTATTTATTTTGAGATGGAGTCTGGCTCTGTCACCCAGGCTGGAGCACAGTGGTACTATCTGAACTCACTGCAACCCCCATCTCCTGGGTTCAAGCCATTCTCCTGCTTCAGCCTTCTGAGTAGCTGGGATTACAGACCACACCTGGCTAATTTTTGTATTTTTTAGTAGAGATGAAGTTTCACCATGTTGGCAAGGCTGGTATTAAATTCCTGACCTTAAGTGATACGCCCACCTTGGCCTCCCAAAGAGCTGGGATTATAGATGTGAGCCACCGTGCCCAGCCCTATGTGGATTTATTTTACTCAGTATAGAATATCAAGCTAGCCATGCACTAGCCATTAAGACGGCAGAGAAAGTAAATGGATTAAATAAATTCGGTCCTGATACTATTTTGCTGTGGTCATTAAAATGTTAATTAAAGTCTTGTTCTAAAAAATTAGAGAAAGCTCAAAATATAAGTTTTACCTCAACTGAAACATTCAATACTTCACATCAATCTCAAATACCAGTGAAAAAGATGACTATCTCAAACTTTCAAATCTATGACCAGACTTGAATATTCTTAGAATAAAAACTGAAAATAGGGACTTTAACTGGAGGCTTGGTCCTTTCTAAATCAAGATTCATTCTGATTTTCTTTTCTGTATATCTGATTATGTTTATAAATCTAAATTTGGTATTTAATAGTGTATTTCTCTATTTTATACTGCATTGATAATTTGGACCAAGACATACTTTAGTCCTTTATAAGGTTCACAATGTAGTTGCCATGTGTAGAAGCCACAAACTTTCAAAGTACTTGAGATTAAACCTTAGATGCTAAATTACTTGGAAATATATTAATTTACTATCTATTAAATTCTGACAATTTTAAGTCTTTATACAAAATTATTTTCATTGGTGTCTGTCTGCAAACCCATCAAACATCATTAAAGTCTAAAATAAACAAATTTAGAACTGTTAAAAAGTAATCAGTGACTCAGTTTAGTATCAATTATTTTAATACTAATATAGTGGTATACATAATTAATAATGCCTGGAAGAAACTTCTAAAAAAGTGCAGTAGTCACAACACTAAATTCATTTTACCATTCTGTTCTTATGTGATGTTACATTTTAAAGTAAGTGCTGGATATTTAATATCTGTTTAAAAATTCTATCCTGAACACATAAAATCTAGAAGTTTTGTGTTATAAGATGGAGTACATTCATTCTGATTTAAGGACATAACAGAATATAACAAGAAATTGAACTTATATAAAATCACTTTATTAAATTCTCAAGAAAAAGCTTTTTTAGACTTTTCAGCATAAATAATTAATGCAACTTTCACCTGAGTCAGCCTTGTTGGCTGCTTTCCAGAGGCATCTACCTGAACAGCCAGGCTCTCCCTAGATACCTTCTTTCTGTAGCTACCATGCTGTAGTATATTTATCAGTAATAAGACAAGCTTTATGACAATCATTTTCTAGATGGGAATGCAATTCAATGAACTAGCTGCAGACTAAATATATACCCTTGTGGCTACTTTGAAGATGCTCACAGCCAAGAGGCTAAGTTGATTGGGCATGCAATGTCTCTTCTACTTAGTTTGCCTTGTAATGATATTTGTCTCTTACACTAAGTGTAGATTCCTTTTTCACTTAAAGGCACATATATCTTGAATACATAAGTAGATATACTAAACTGCCAAAATGCCTAGGATTTCAGGCCACAAATGGATTTTCTAACAAAAAGAACAGAATAGAATGTGTTAACTAACTCCAGAGACCTTACTACTTCTAACTATTCACCTGCTATGTCCAAATTAGAAGTATTATTTTCCAGTTTTTAAAAAAGGAAGACAAAAATGAAAGATCTACTAATGTCGGCCCGGGCGCGGTGGCTCAAGCCTGTAATCCCAGCACTTTGGGAGGCCGAGGTGGGTGGATCTCAAGGTCGAGAGATCGAGACCAACCTGGTCAACATGGCGAAACCCCGTCTCTACTAAAAATACAAAAAATTAGCTGGGCATGGTGGCATGCTCCTGTAATCCCAGCTACTCAGGAGGCTGAGGCAGGAGAATTGCCTGAACCCAGGAGGTGGAGGTTGCGGTGAGCCGAGATCGCGCCATTGCACTCCAGCCTGGGTAACAAGAGCGAAACTCTGTCTCAAAAAAAAAAAAAAAAAAAAAAAAAAGAAAAAAAAAGATCTACTAATGTCTATGCTTAGCAAATTGCATGCATTGTGATAATCTGGAAGAAAGAAGAAGAATGATATCAGATAATTTTATGAAAAATGAAATAAACAGGTGAAACGATCAAAAGTGAAAACTGTTGAAAAGAAACTGCATTATGTTCTTGGAGAGGGCCAGTTTTCCATCGATACTATTCATTTTTAGAAAAATAATTGTAATGCAATTTAACATTAATCATTGAAAAAGTTTTTAATTTACAGTCGAAGTAAAATTCAGTTAAAATGCAATTTGGTTAAAAAACATCAGGTAGTAAATTGTTAAATAAAAATACTATCATCAAATTTGCCACAAGGGATGGATGTTGGAATTTAACAATCACTTTAACTCATTTTTTTCCAACTTTTATAAGTATGTTAAAATAATTTTTGAAAGCTATGAAGCAATCTGTTTTCTGCACCTGGACTGATTTGCAAATCTGAGTAGATATATGCCTAGTATAATCATAGCAATTTCATTGAGAAAGTACCTTTAGTAGAAGAGCTACTTCCTTAAATTGTATTATTTACATTTGGTGGCTAAGACCAATGTTTAGATAGTGCTGTAAAAAAATGGCAAAACAGAAAAATAGTATTTTATTTTCTTATTGACATTTACTCTACTACTTCTTACTCATTTTATACTGAATTTCAACAGGTTCTATTTCAAAAGACATAAGGGCATTTGGTGCATATAATGGTCCTTTGGGTTTCTTGAAAGTAAAAGATTAAAATTGTACTCAAAACATTCTTATAAATTCAACAAGTAGCAAGTCTCCAACCAGAAACATGTGTTTGATTTATGAAGTTTTATTTACTTCTACCAGTAGACACAGAACCAGTAAATAAATTTTTATTATAAAATTGAATCATTAATCAAGAGAATCTCTAGTTAACTTATGATCTTTCATTATATTAAGAGAAAAATAGCAAAACACATGGTCCTTGCTCTGTTGTCCTTTTTATATCTCATACAGCTAATAGGTTTAAAAAATATTCAAAAATGCATAACATTGGTATGTTTCTCCTGTTTGCTACATTTGCTTAAATCATGGCTACTCAAATCCTACTGTTAACCTATGGTGATTTCAGCCATTGTAGATAGACTGTGGAAAGAAGAATGAAGGGTCCACAACATTAGAACCACTATTTGAAGACAAAAAGCCTAGGCAGAGTCAAAATCCAGGATTCTGGCACAATTTCACCACCAAAGAACAGAGCTAAAGGATGCAAGATGTTTTACAGAGGACTTCCTAGGAATATCTGTACCAACTAAAATGGTATGGTTGGTTCATAGGATATAGCACAGTATCTGGTAAATATTATATAGTTAACCAATCACGTTCGGTTAATAAACTAAAGCTTTTTTTTTTTTTTTTTTTTTTGGAAATGCTCTATCTCTTGTTAAGATGCTAATTTAAACTCTCAGCATTTTTGCATGTGAAAATCACTTTTTAGTACCTGTTAGTTGTAAAGGTTTTGATTTCTGAAATATATAACTGTAATCAGGTTTTGATTTTCTGAAATCTATAAATTTTAATTAACATACGAAATTGGAGATATTTTAGGCTCCATTAAGATAGAAAAAGTGAAGAGCAATAATGTCCATATTAATCTCATCAGGCATGATATGATAATAAAAATTGAAATGAACAAATTAATTTTTATAATTAGTCAGAATAAGTCCTTTTTCATATTGTCAAATTTTCCCTAAAAAAGCTATTCATATGTAATTATCTAACAATATTTGGTATCTCTTTTTAATTACTGAACAATTTACACATCAATATCTTTATCTCTTAAGATGTTTTCAGTGAGTATGAATACAAAACAGAGAGATCATCTAGGTCTATTCAAAATCCAAATAAGGTGGTACACATTTTGATAAAATATTACTTATAGAAACAGCACAATTGAAAAGTATTGTTAGTTAGATAATGGAATTTTGAAAATTTCAATGATAATATAGAAAAGTAGAGCAAGTAAAGAGTCATACTTTCTAAACAGATTTTTTTTTTTTTTTAGATTTTCTTTATTCTATACATTTCAAATGAAAACTCTGAAATCTTAATGGTTCCACATAATATTAATTTTGCATCGTGATGACGGATAACTTATTTGTAATTACATGTACATATCTGGAGCACAAAATATACAGCACTAAAAATATTGGAACATAAAACAAGTGTAATGTTGAAGTATGGTAAGTACAAAAGAAAGATAGACAATATACATGTTACAATTTTGTTCAAATTAAGTCTTCTCCAATAGCTTGAGATTGAAGTTAGGTTACAATGGGACTAATTCTTGTTTGACTTATGCCTTATTTTGAAAAAAAGACAATCAACCTCCAAAACTTACCAGAACATAGCTATCTTCAATGTACAAGTTCATAAATAGGAGAAAAATGACAAGAACTCCCAAGAACGACACTGTAGAACGTTTTCGCAGGCATCTCATTTTATCAAGTATTTCAAAAACGTGTTTCATTTGATGAAATTTAAACATTCTCTTCTGTGGATAAAAGGCACAGGATTACTAACAGTTGGTTTTGGATGCAAATATTTCTTTATCATATATATAAAATCCAGGTCTTTGTAGAATCTCATCTTTCAAATGTTTGCATTAAAATTCTGTTCCCAATTTCACATGGAAGATTGGCACAGATCATTAATATGTTAATATAAGGCCAATGCAGTGGTTTGTATTAATGTAGAGTAAATAAAAATAAAAAGCAAGCCTCCTTGTTACTGATGAAAAATGATGAACTTTGGTCATAAACATGTAAAAACCCAGGCCTCTGAGGAGAAACAGTACAAAAATAACTGTCATTGGTGAGATATAACTTTAAGGTAACATTTACCTCTCATATTGTAGTATAAGAAAAATGGGAAAAAAAGCAGAATTATGGGCATAATATTAATCTTAGAGTAGGTGTCACTGAAAACATTTAACTGAGAATTTGAGTAAACAAAAGTCACAAAGAAGTTAAAGCTGTGGGGGTAAATCCAAACATATGTTTGAAAACTTCTTGGTTACAATTGCTTTCTTTATTTTTCCAGTGATTCTTGTTAAATCACGGTGAATCCTATAGTGGTATATCTTCATTTCCTTGATATCTACTAACTAACAGTTTAGCTGTTTGCAATAATTCCTGTGCTGCACAAAGGCAAATTGAGAGTCAGAAAGATTCATGAAAACTGAATTAAAAAAAATTCACTCATATTTTGTGATATTTTCCAATCAAAGATTCCTTTATATTATTGACTGTTTTATTAAAAAAGTATAAGCATATCTGAAGTGCTCAACAAACTAGAAAAATCACATTTTGTCTAAAATCAACACATTGATAATCTAGAAATAGTGCCACTTAGAGTTGTGTAATGGATCTCCCTGGGTTTATCTTTAAGACGAAGTACTTATGTGTAAGGAAGACTTTAGAAAGTGAAAAATGTCTGTACCCTATAATCTTAGAACTATGCCTAGAACTTAGCTAGCAAATCTTATCTCTTCATTGAGTTAATGCCAGGGAGAATTCATGAATCCTTATAAATTATAGAAAAAAATATTAGGAAGTAGAAGAAAGTCTTAACATATCTGAAAAACAAAAGAATTCTAAAAAATAAAGAATTATGATAATATTATACATATTACTGTCCATTTTCTTTAACCACATTTTTCTTAAGGGTTATTTTTCTTATTAACTTGTAGAAATTGTAAATATGTATACAGAGAGGCACGTATAGATGCACATAAATGTATATCTTGAGGATTTGGATGATATATGACATTTCGAATAGTATGAGAAGTGGTGAAAATAATGCTTTGGAGGCAATACTGTGGTTCTGTTATGGGATCTTTGGGGTGTTGCTTTTCTGGTTAGAAACCTCTGTGGCTGATGGCATCTTGCAAGAGTCCTTGTCCTGTGTCCAGGAAGAATGAGGTTTGCATACAAGTCGGGGGTGAGTAAGATAAAGAGGAGCTTTACTGAGTGTTAGAACAACTCAGAGGAGACCAGCAGTGGGTAGAGCCTCTCTATAGGTAGATCATCCTGTCAAGTGTCCAGCACTTAGCAGAAAGGGTAGCTCCCAACATCTCTCCATCCTCTCCTCTGCTCTGGTTGAACCTGGGGCTTTTATGGACTTTGTAGGGGAGGAAGCACATGCTGACTGATCCATGGGCAGCCATGGGTAGGCCCAGAAAAGGCACCACAAGTCCCCACTCTGGTCCTCAGGACTAGCAGCCTGGTCTCCAGACTTCAGGCCTTCCCTGGCCTGAACATAGAGCTTCACTGGGGACCCACTGCCTTCTCCCCCAAAAGCCTGTCTGCCTCCACCTACTGTCCATAGCACCAAAGCTGCTTGCACCAACAGGCACCTGCAAGCCAGTTACAAGCCGTCCTCAGTGCCCTCCTTGGTTATCCGCCCCACACTTGTGAGTACCCAAAGCCCAGAGGAGGCTAAGATCAAAAGGGGCTGGCATGTCAGCACTGCCCAGAGATGAGATTATAGGTGTGAGTCTGAGATGCTGCATGCTGGAGGGGCTCAGTGGCTGGGCACAGTGATTCATGGCTCTAATTCCAGCTCTTAGGGAGGCAGAGGTAAGAAAATAGCTTGAGACCAGGAGTTCAAGACCTGCCTGGGCAATATAGCAAGACCCCCATTCTCCACAAAAAGAAAAAAGTCCACTTCACAATTCAAGCAGCAGAGTTTCCAGGAGAAATTTCATCAGATCAGGTCCTGGAAGTTTTCACCATCCTGATGACAATATGGCAGGGGCAGTGACCAGTGAGACATCTTCAGAAGTGGCCTTACCTTTTCAAAGGGCAGACAAAGCCACCACCAGCCACACAGGTTTCCAGTCAGAAAAGCAACACCCCAAAGATCCAGTATTTTGGGTGCTCATCCAGAGTCTGTGGAAGGGTGAGTAAAAGCAGATCTGCTTTTACTGTCCTTTTACTGGAGTCTCTAAATTTCACAACAGTAAAAATGAAAGAAAAATACTGGACCTTTGTCAGCCAGTTAAAAGTGACTAGCACAGCTGCCAGGGCTTAAAACATGGAGAACAGACTTGTTGGAAAGGACGTTGTCAATCCTCCATCACCTTCTCGTGTTGGGAATGTTGGCTTTGTTTCAACCCAGTCTCCCCTAATGATGAGCTAGCTGTCAGGTAGGACTGGAAAAAGGCCTTGGAGCAACTGAGGATATCTGGCTGATGCTATACCTTGGTGTGATCCAAAGGATCTTGGACTAACTCCAGTTCCTGACTGCCCATTAGGGTGCTGGCATGTGGACCTCCAGTCTTTCCCATCATTCTTTCTTTCTTTCTTTTGTGGCTGTCAAGGTTCCTATCTCTTCTTTATACACAATGTTAAATGTTAAAAGATGTTGCAAACCAGAGATATTACTGGGTAGAATATGCAATTGGCTTAGTCATCAAAAGTATGAAATGGAAAGTTAAGAGCAGCACAGATGAAGCAAAGTGTGCCTTGGTATCCGCACATAAATTTGTGGCAAAAATGTTGTCATTTCCTTTGTTGCCAATTTAGTATCAAGCACCTGAAAGGACAGAAGAAAAACACAACCTCAAGAAGAAAGCTTTTCTGTCAACGTGATGGCAAATGGTCCAAGGTCCCAGCTGCACAGGTCTTATTTGCCTTGAAGGGCAATTTGGACCTTTGTTCAGATAGTAGGATTTATTAAGCACTCCTAGTGGCCATCTCAGGAGAGGCTGCAAGGGACAGTCCCATGGAAATATGGAAACAAAGCCCAGAGGTGCCTCCATCAGGGGAATCAAGCCCCTTTGCTCTTCCTTGTGTGGATTCTCTCTTAAGCTTGCCCCAGGCTAGAAATGCTCATTTTAGGCAGGTTTCAAACTCAACTGCTCCAATAACAGATGCCTGGTGAATATGTTCCCATGAAGGTCCAGGTAACCTTTTCAAATTAAGGGGGATCTTGGCAAGTTTTCAGATGGCCCTCACAGGTACATAGAGGCTTTTTACAACTTAGCCCAAGTCTTTGAGCTCTCCTGGAAGGATGTCATGTTACTTTTGGGTCAAACCCTCACCACCACTGAAAAGCAAGGCACCCTGCAAGTGGCAGGAAATTTTAGCAATGAGCTTCGTATATTATATAGGGCCAGGGAAGGGAGGAGTCTTATCCAGCTGGAAGAATGCCAGTACCATTGGAGGACCCTAAATGAGCGCTCAATGATGAAATGGGAGAAGGGAGGAGAAAACTCTTTCAGGTTTTCATACTGAAAGGCATTCAAGGGACTGGGACCAGGCCTCTCAATTGCACTGAGCTATCAATGGTAGACTAGTGATTGGAGGGTAGTCATACTGCCTTCTTCGGTGGGGGGGCTGGGAGGGGCCTTGGTGAAGTGTGCCTCTCCATCTCCTGATTTGGTTAAGGAACAGCTGGACCTGGGGGATGAGTTTATTGCACAAGTGTCCCCTGATGTCCTGAGGGGGCTGCAGAAACAGGCTGAGGAACCAGGTGGTACTTTGGAGGGCCTCCTGGGGAGTGGCCACCTCAGTCTTTTGCAGTGGGAACCATGAGGAAGCCCAGAAAAGAGAGGGGAGATGTAGAAAAAAGGCAGAGGTTCTAGTAGTCACCTTGTGGACTCATGGACCCTGGAGTCCCCAAGATGCACTTGTTAACTGCAGCAAATGTGGTAGGAGGGACTGTCCAGAGAGTGGAAAGTGGGGTCAGACACCCCTGAGCCTGTGTAGGCTGGGGTCTTCCTGGCCTCCAAGGGTGCAGCTTGCAGAGAAGTTTGGATCCTGCACCTGGGAGAGCAGCTGTAGTGGCTGCTTGCACAGTGGCGTGAGAGGCCTGGGCAGGCCTCCCTGCTGCAGCTGGAATCTTGTCAGCAGCCACTCTAGATGGGCCACTGCTGCCATTAGTTCTGTCTGCAATAATGTTAAATAGAATAAAACAACAAAACTCCAGGATATAATTCCCAATAGTTGACAAAGAAATACAGAAGTCCTTAGAGAATAATGATGTTCTTCTAATTCTGATATCCAAATCCTTCAAATTGTAATCCTCCAAAATTCATTCACAATACAGAATAGAAATAAGCTTTCCATGGTGTATACCCCCAGCGTAACTATGATACAGACAGTTGGCACAAACTTTAATTTACATTTAATTGAAAACATTTATACCAGCAGAATAGTATGAGAAGCCCAAATCAAAGCAAACAAAAGGTCAAAAGACAGACCAAAATAAATGTCATTTATTAAGCAAACTGTGCTAAACTGCAGGCCATTAAAAGTAAGAAAGCTGATAAAGCCATTCACACTACTCCTCCACCTCAAGCATAGAATTATTTTCTTCACCTTGGCTCAGGAAAGTTTGAAAAAAATGATCCTCCATTCCCCTTCCTCCCCCCCAAAAAACCACACAGAAACCCAAAACTGGACTGACAAAATTACTATGGAAAGAAGAACAAAATAGCTGATTTCAAGTACGGAGAAGGGACTCTGGGATTAGGCCATCTTTTCGTTG